GTGTTATCCCTTTGCTATCTTTCTCTGTTGAGAGAGGACACCCAAGCTTTCCTCTTCTCCTGGCAGACATCCCACTCTAAATCAGAGCAGCACCTTTGGGCTGCACGGTCCAGAATGATGCTTTGACCAGCATTGCTTTGAACTAAGGTGTCAGGCTGAGGGGGGTGGCTGTCACCTAGGTGCTGTTGAGTGCTGCAGCATCCAAATAGCTTCCTTCTTCAGTGAAGGATTTCCAGGGCAGGAGCCTGCCAGCCCTCTCCTTCGTAGCCCAGTGCACTGGAGTTGGCTGGGACACGACTGAAATGTTCTGCATCTCTTACAATACAAGGTCTCCAGGGCATGGATTTTTTTGGAAGGTTGAGATTGGTTCTATAAACCCCAAGATTTAATGTCTCTTTATCTTCCCATAGAGGGACTTGTTCTTTTAACTGCCTCAGTATCGATACACCCAGTGTGTAGCAAGTGGCCCAATTTCTTTGTCTCCTGACATCCTGAACCCAGAAGCAGATGGACGTTAACCAGCTCTGATTAGTTGGGAGAATCAAGCATTAATTTTTTATACACCAGGACCACCTGAGTGACGGAAATCAATTACGGCTGCCCCTCCCCCTTCCATATTAATGTGGTGGCTCCGAGCAGAGATGGAGGGACCTGTTGAAATGAGAAACCCCTATTTCTTAGTTTGACCCTCTAGATAATTAGGGTTAAATTGATATGCTATCGCACTGGTGACACATTTTATCTGCCTCTGTTTGTACAAGAGGATACAATAGTGGAGGAAGGACCAATTTGTGCCCTGCTCTAGCTAACCAGACCGAGATAAAAGGTGTCACTAGTACGATAACGTTCTTGCCTCATGCTCCTTTATTGTTGCTCAATTTGCCTTTTTTTTTTTTTTTTTTTTAATCCTGTTCTTTTTCTTTCAATACCCTTGGTCATATTTTAACTCCATGCCATCGCATAATGACGCCCTGCTAAATGTGTGTGGAGATAGGCAACTCTGGCTGACAGCCTTCCCTGATAACCGAATTCCAGCCCATCCATCACTAGGCTGCTCTCCTTAACTTAAGGAAAGTGATAACTAAAGCAAGGCCGTTTATCACCGCCGAGCTGTGCGTTTCTTGCTGCCTTGGAGAGAGCTGGCTTCGACGGGAGAAATGCAGCCATGTCACCTCGCCTCCTATTTGCATCCCGTTCATCTCCAGGCCCCATTTACCCTGCAGGGTGGGGGAGCAGGGCTGGGTGGAAATCGGAGCCTGGGGTGATGAAAGCTCTCTGAAAACAGTGCAGAGTTGCCACTGCTGACCACAGTCTGAGAAGGACTTGGACTCGCTTGGCTGGTGGAGGAGAGTGTACCACCCGGTGTCACTTGCTCTTCTGCCCAAAGGGAATCTGCATTTTGGGAGCAGGCAGAGGTTGTGCTCTCCCATCTCTGCTGCTGGGAGGACAGAGTACCAGAGCTGCACCAGAGGCTGGAAGATCCCACAGCCATTCTCAAGCTTCTCTCTGTCAAGTGCAGTCATACCCAAAGCCATGGCTGTTTGGCTGACAGGGTGGTTTTGAAAGCCGGCTTCCTTCCCAAGCTGCGAGCGCTTCAGTGTTTGGGGAGGCAGTGAGACCTCGTTCAAAAACTGGAAGGATCATGGGATGTTGAGTGCAGTGAAATGTGCCATCATTTCTCTTCTCCCTTACCTGAGGGAGGGCCAAATCCTGAGCTCTCTGCTCAAGCAAAGCTGCCCTCAGTGTGCGAGGTTGGCTCTGGCAAGAGCAAGAAGCCATACTGAGCGTAAGAGCTTGTTTATCAAATGAGCTCAAGTAAGTGGTGGTGCTGATAAATGGACTTACTTCTTTACAAGCCATGGCACTTCTGTTCCCTGGGACAGCCACAGGTGTGCCTTATTTGCTCCAGCCTGGAGAAGATGATAGAGAAACTCCAACCTGCTCACCGGGATGAAGAGTGGGGGTACCACTGTAGCTTGGGTGAGCTTGGAGCTGGGGAAAAGACACTGCAGGAGTGTTTTCCTTCCCGTAGCTATCTGGGAACCTTGTTTTTGTGCAGTGAAAGTCTCCCCGTTCCCTGTGCTGGGAGTGCTGCATACGCAGACTAGACCAGACCCACGTAGCAATCCTTTGCTAATCCTTGCTAAGTGGCTGTATCCTCACTGGCCTGGAGCCACCAGGCCTTCATCTTCCAGCTCAGGGAGGAGATTGATGCTTTGGCCCATGCTGCTGACAGCCCATCCAGGTTATGGTGTGAGTGTAGGTCTCCTAGTGCTTGAAAAACTTGATGTAGCCTCTTTGGTGCTGAGGTGAAATGAGGGGAGCACAAGCATGGAGGGGGAGGGGAATGTCCTGAGGTCACACAGCTTCACAGGCGGTTTCTGGGGTTGTTACTTGTTTGCAAAAATGCGTCATTTATTTAGTTGACATATTTATTTGGAGCATTTATTTTCTCCAATTAAAGACCCACTGTCCAGCGCCCAGGGCATACTGCCATCAGTCTCAGGGCGGAAATAGAACCAGACTGTCCGGTTTGCTAGGCCTTTCGGTCCCACAGGGATGGCAGTGTTTTAGATGTCATCCATTGCACTGGGTGGTTAGCTGTCAATTCCTGTGGCTAACAAGAACAATGCTGCACTCACTTCTCCTGGGCCCTGTCCAGATGTTAGGTGAATTGATAATTATTCCTCTAACTGGAGCTACACTGAGACCTGTATTAATGAAAGCCTCTTGAGCTGGGAGGAGAAACTCAGCTTTAAGTAACATACCTTTTGCTAGCTTTTCTCATCATCCTCTCTAGCTAAATGTGAGGAGTCTAAGAGCGGTTGAACTAATCACATGTCTGTATTTAGACCAGTTGTTTGTTTTTGATGGTTCCTTGGGATTTTTTTTGATTTGGGCACCAGTAGAAAGCAGCTTTCCTGGAGAAGGAGTTTCTTAACATGCTGGTGGAGACTGGTGGGGTCTGTGTGGATGTCTTGAACTTATGTGTAAGGCTGTAAAATGAATGAAAAGGCTGCTATTTATGTGATGGCTGTTCCATTGTGAGGAGTGACTCCAGGTGGTTTGTTTCAGTGCTTACATCAGATGAGCTGTGCCCAGAGATGAGACTGTGCTGTCAGGTCACATTGCTTACCCTGCAGATCGCCACAGACCTGCTGCTTGCAAGCTCGTTCTCTTGACAGGCTTCCTGCTTTCCAAGAGCTTCCTCTGTACCTTCTTATTCAAATGTGTTTGTATGACTTAAATTATTGCTCCTAAATGAGGACTCTTGCATCTTCTCAGGACCAGGCATATAATTTTGGCTCAGGGAGTCCATTCATTTCTTAGCCTAAGCAGGGCAAAGGTGGTGCACAGGTGGATCCCAGTGTGTGGTGGCTCTGTTGGCCACATATTCCCAGGAGATTCTCCTGGATATGTTTGCCAGCTTCCTTCATTCCTTCCCATAGAAATGGAGGCATCACCAAGACCAGACCACTCTGGCACTACCCTGGGTCTCGCATTATCTACAAGTGCACTATTTGTGCTGCTCCATCATCTCCTTACTTGGGGAAATGTCTAGAGGGATGCTGCCCTGTTCACCAAAGGGTTGGGAACTGGGCTGAGCACTCAGGTGCTGCCTGGTGCACTGATGGTGCACCCTGGCTCAGTGTGATGTATCTACACCGTATCCACTTCTGAGCAGAGTGTTCCTGAATTTCACTCTTGGGTCTGAAGGCTAGTCTGGACTATTCACTCTTTCCTCTGTGGAGATGGGAGAAGACTTTGCCCTGGACGTGGTGGTCTGTGTTGGGATGTTTGAGCAGCTGATGCTGACAGTCATAGCTCTTCCCTCCTCCTCTACAGCCTCCCCTACAACCCCCATGTGCCTGAGGAAGTTGGGAGATTCCCCACCCCCCTCTGTTTGCAAAAGCCGATTTCTGGGGTTGTGACTTTTAGCATGCACAAACAGCTCTAATTTAGTCATTTATTTAGTTGACATATTTATTTGGGATGTTCCTTTGCTTCAGTTAAAGATCCTGTGACCAGTGCCCCAGGCGTGCTCAGCAGTACGTGAATGAACAAGATCCATCAATTACTCTTGATCAGATCAAACTGGCCGGGAAAAACTCGCATAACTCATGTCCCTGCACAGGCTCGGCTAGAGCCACACAGTTTGCAGCTCAGCCTTCCCCAGCTGAGGGGCACGTTTTAGCTCCCATGCAAACACGCTGGGATCAGCACAGTGTGAGAGAAACAGCTTTCCTGGGGTCCTGCTGTCCCTTCAGGCAATCCAACTCCCTTACCGGTGCCGTTTTGTTTTGAGCTCTGTTCCATTGGCTCGCTGTAGGAAGGGAGAGGGTAAATACATGTGCTGGCAGCTCTGGCTGCTGTGCTCAAACCCCTGGTGAGACAGTGTGCAGCACCCTGCGTCCTCAGAGTTGTGACTGCTCTCTTCTTCCAAGCACCTGCTTGGAAAACAGCCTCTGCCTTCTTAGCCCTAAAACATCGGTCCTACAGCATTGCTACCACCCAAAATTGAATGTTTTGTTGCCTCCTTCCCTCCCTCGTGTCTCCTTCAGTGTTTTAACCATAAAGGCCAAATGCAGAAGCACCAGGGCATGACAGGTGAATTGTCAGTCCTGTCTGCCCTGTAAGCTGCTAAGCAGGATGGTTTTCCAGGGATTTGTGATGGGTTCACTTAGCTAAGGACAGCGCGGATACTCCAGTCATGTTTGTGTCTTAGCCACTGCGGAGAAGAGCTGAGCGCTGCACTTGCTGTTCAAAATGTTTAGTCCAAAAGGTTTCAGCAGCCTAGATGTGGCTGGATGTATATTAGTCTTAAGCAAAGCTGTGCTCTCATGAGATTTTTTTGCCAAGAGCTATGGTCCTTCTGATGTGCGGCATGTTACAGCAGACTCGAGGGTCTCTTCCATCTCTGAACAAAATGCACTTAAGAAAACAGAGTTTGTGTTGTCAGGACACTGATTGAATCAAACTTGCTCTCTTCTCTCTTACAGGTTACCAGGACAATGCCAGTACTTAGGGCTGCCGGTTGCTGATTACTTCAAACAGTGGATTAATCTGAAAAAGGTACTTCTGTGCAAACTGCCATAGTCCCTGTCTCCCTCTCTCCCTCCTCCCCTTGTCCTTCACTTTTCCTCTTTAAGGAGGTGTCTAATAACTACTGCTGTTTTGCATTGAAATGAGTTATTTCCTCAGAAGCTGGGCTGAGCGAGTCCTCCAGCTCCCTATTGTATCTCCTCTAATAGAGTGTTACTGTACTTGATGGGATGTGTTCTGCAGCTGGGGAAAATCCCATTGTGGCAGGCACAGTGCGATGTCTCTGCATAATAGTGGGACACTGTGAGACCCCTTTCCAGTGAAGGTTGTGTTGTCGCCAGTGTTGCTGGCTCTGTTTTGTTTTGCAGGCGTATAAGGCTCCTAGGAGCACGGTTCCCTTCAGGTCAAATTCTGGTTAATAAATGTGGAAATACTCCAGTATATAGGAGCCCCTGGTGGTCCAGTGGTAAAGGCGCCGCGCTGTCACCACGGAGACCCGGGTTCGATTCCCGGTCAGGGCCACTCCCGGGCAGGTGGGGCTCGTTAGCCCTTAAAGGCAACCCACCTACGTCCTAAGGACCTCGCTGCCACCGTCCAAGCTCGCTTGGCCCCGGCAGATGAACCTTAGGATTAAAGGGTGGGCTCAGTTCCGCGCACACTGTGTCTCACCTAAAAAATCCAATGCGCAGGCTGGAAGGTGGAAAGACCTTCCCCGGATCTTCGCTCGCGAAGACTGGCCATTAAAAAATTAAAATTAAAATTAAAATTAACTCCAGTATAAAAATCAACATTTCCCTTTGTGGCGTGGGGAAGGGGAGATGTCTCAGCAGCACATCCACCTAAGAGACCAGTGACCACTTTATTAAGCAAAATGCCTTGGACTCAGTACTGTCTGGTGCCTTGTCTTGCTCCATGCCTTCACTGAGTGGTTAAGGGACAGCCTGCTGTGCTTCCACAAGGTCTCCTCTGGCACAGCTGCTCTATCTGCACAGAAAAATGTGGTGGTGCCATAAGACACCAACCAAAGTGAGAAGAAAAGAACAAGTGTGATGACAAGCAGTAGCAGGGTGAGAGAGGAGGCTGCTGTCTGTGCACAAGAGAAAGCTGGGGTGGCCCTCCTGGTTAAACCTTTGGATAAGATTCCCTTCCCCCATCCAATTTAGTGCTTTATTTGGGTTTCTGTGCCTTTTCGTGGTAATTAGGGGTCTCAGCAACCGAAATTTGCTTATAAACAGCTTGTTGTTCTTGTGGGCTTTTCTTTTGTTCTTTTATTTATTTATTGTTTTAAATGGAAGCGTGAGTGACAGGCTGAGCGGCCGCAGAAGGACAATTTGCATGATCTGTTCCGTCAAATAGGGTAGAACATGAACTTAACAAGGGATGCTGGCAGCACATTCCTGGCTGAACTTGTCAAAGGGTCTTGTATTTCCCTGCTGTCAGAGCAAATCTTTTGGCTGATTGCTGGTCCTTGGTAAATGAAATCTGAAAGCACACTGGGGCATTCTGCAGTTCAGTGACCATTAATGATCGCCATTTGAAGTTCACTAAACTTCCGGTGAATGGATAGCAGCTATATAACCAGCAGGTTGATGGCTGCAGAATAATAATACTTTAAAAAAAAAAAATCCCAATGTACTGTGATGTTTGCTAAGAAGTAGGTTGATCCAGCTCCTCCTCTGGGCCTCTGGATGAACAGCTTACAACTCCTTCCCATAGTTCAAGGCTGCTGCATTTAGTGTGTTGGGAACTGGGATTCTCCAAACCATGGATGTCCAGACACGTGGCTGTTCTTCAGGATGGGTATTCGTGTACTGCACATCAGCAAATGCTGTGACACTAAGCTGAGGGCTGCTGAGCCATCCATGAGGTCCCAAGCTAAAGGCAGGAGCAGGAGAGAAGCTGTTGCAGCGAAGTGTTCCCCTTCCTGGCACTCTGAAGGTGTCACATATTGAGCATGTAGGGTGGGGGCACATGGGTGGGGTTGTCCTCCCCTGCACACGTAACTTGGAAAGGAAAGCTTCAACCTCCTTCAGATCATGTGAGGAGGGGATGTGAGAGAGAAATGTTCATCTTCCTCCAATCCCTCCAGTCTTTCTAAAAAATGAAGTTTTTCTAACACTTCAGTATCTGATGCCCTCAGACACACTGTGGCTCCAGGGACCCCACATCCCTCTGGGAAGTGACCCATGTTGCAGAGGACAGCAGGGATATCTCCTGTCCTGTGACTAAGAGCTGCTTCTCCTGCGACTTGCTCTTACCCCAGGGTGAGGATCTTTCCATGCCACTCACTGCTTTCAGGTGCTTATGGGGCAACTGCCTGTATGTTTTCACAAGAGAGGATTTCCAGCTTAGATAACTAATTCTGTCCAAGTAGACAGACCCAATGGAGCCTCAGTCTCTATTGAGTGAGCTCCCAGTGTGAGACAAATAAAAGTGGACAGGTAACTAGCCCCCCTGTTCGTCCCTGCATAGCTCAGGTGGCCCTTTTTCCCCCCCTCTGGCATGTTCCTGACTTAGAAATACCTCGTAGGCTTAGTCTGCCTCTGACCTGATCCATGAAGTGAAGGTGTTGGGCGGTGGGCGGGTTGGGGGGTGGAGTGTGAAACTGATGATTTCTAGGTCATGGATAATGCAGAGACTTGAATGTTTCAGATATCAAGAAACCAGGCACATGTGACAGCAGTATTCTGCAGAAAGGCCCCACCTGCATTTTCTGCCCCTTCTTTGGGTCTCTCCTTGTGAGGAGTGATAGCAAGAGGACCTTTCTGAATTAGAGAGCTCCTTCTCCAATTACACAGACTTTGTGTACCTATATGTAGTGCAGTAGCAGATTCCCTCTGCCCATGCACACACAGCTTCAGGTCCTCTTTGTCTCTGTTTTATATAATTTTAAGAAACAGTCCTTGTCTGTACTCCCTCTGTCAAAGCGTGGGATGCTCCAGAGCTCAGCAGTCCTTCTTCCCTCAGTGGTGAGACAGTCTGTCTCTCATGGTTCATTGGCCAATAAACTCCTCCCCTTGTCTCTGCTGTGCTGCAGGAGTAGTTGAGGCAAGAACCCTGTGCCTCCAAGGCAGCTTTCACAATTTCCAAGACTTGCCTCTGGGGCAAGCTGAAGACAGGAATTGCCCCTGTGAGGTGCCACGCTTGTTTTGCCTCAGGCAGACCTTGTTGGATTGATCTGGCCGTGCAGGTGGTGGTGAGCTCCACACCTGATCGCTGCAGCGGTGGCCACAGTGTCTTGGGATCTGTGAAAAACCTTCTGTGGAAGAACAGACAGGAAAAAAGCTGCCTGTGCACTTGGCTGTGTTTGCTGAAGTTTTACCTTGCCCAGTGCCCCCCCATCCTGCTAATGCATCCCTTCCATCAAGCCTGATCGGTGTTTGCTGACATTTTTAATGTCACTGAGCGATCTTGTATCTCTAGTGAACTGTCAGTGTGGAGCTGACTCGGGGCAGAGAGTTTATCATGTTCTTCACTTCGATTAGCTCAGCCTTGTGGGAGGGCAGCAGAAAGCAGAGGAGGCTTTCTTTGAATGCTGCAACATTTCAGATATCCCCCTAAACCATCTCAACAGAGAGCCACCATCCCGTCTGCCAGCTCTCCTCAGGTGCCTGTCATGTCGATTCGCAGAAGCCCCGGGCTTAGGACTGAGGTGCACAACCTGAGCCACATCACTGGAGCTGGATGCTAAGGGTGGAAATAACAAAGAGTGCTTCATGTCAGGAGAGAGGGGCACCAGTGGAGTAATACGTGCAGAAAGCAGGAGGCCGTGGGTCAAGATTTATGCAGAAAGGAAAGCTGCTGCAGCTAACAAGCTACAACCAAGCTGCTGCCCCAAGAGTATCCTCAGGTATCCTGGATAAATTCATTAGTGCTTTTTCTAACACGAGCTCTCATTTGTGCTCCCTCTGCTCTTTTGGGAGCCTCTGTGGTTTATTGTTCCAGGTCCTGCTTGAGTTAGCAGCATGGTTGGTCCCGTGATGAATCCTCACCGCCAGGACTGGAGCCAGTGCTGTGTTAGGCTGAGGACGTGGTGCCTGCAATTGCAGGGTGGCCAAGCATTCCTGACAATGGGAAACCCGGCAGGCAGCAGGAATGTCAGCACCAACCAGGCTGGGAGCACATCACGGAGAGGAGAGTGGTTTGGTGGAGGGAGGATGAGGAGGAAGAAGAAGAGTGAAGATAGATTTTCTAACAATGAGCTTGTGCAAGAAAATCATTAGAAGGATGATGAGGGTGTGAAAATGGCCAAACCGAAGGTCTAACATAGATTGTCTCCATGCCAGAGGCCAGTAGGTGATGCTTGCAGGTGTTACAGGGAGAGCATGGCTCCAGTCAGCTTTGTCTGATTCCCAGCAATTGTCTCCTCAAAGACTGAGAGCTGGCAGCTGTCCCTGGACCACTGTGTTTAGTACCCACTGTTTTTACCACATCTGTCTATATAAAACTTGTACATCCTTTTCTGAATCTGCTCATGCTCTCAGTTTCTTCAACATCCTGCAGCAATGACTTTTGCTATTTAATTATGCATCAATTATACTCTGTTTACTCAGATGTCGTGTGAAGATGCAGGTCCCCTTGTTTCTTTTAAACCTACTGTCAGATCATTTTCTTGGGCCTAGGTCTTGCATTGTGTGATGGAACAAGTAAGTGTTTCTAGTTCTTCTCCATGCCACTCACTCATGATTTGAGACCTCTGCCGTGTTCTTGTTTAATTGTCCCTTCCAGCACAGCAAAACTTGTCAGAGGGCTGGTGCAAAGGCATTTGCAGGCTCTGTGACTCTAGAACTGGCTTGTGGAAGTTATTAACACTGGGTACACTATCCTGATCTTCCCTTTTTTCTGTGGATGTTATACTATTAAAAGATAAGAGGAATGGTTTATGTATCCACTAAGGGTTTGTTTTATTCCTTGTTTTTCAAATGATATTTTATTTATTAAAAAAAAAAAAAAAAGACAATCTTCATACCCATCACAGAGCTGTCCCTTTCTCAGGATGGCTGTCCTGGCACATTTGACCCTCTTTGATT